TCTCTCTCTCTCTCTCTATCTATCTATCTATCTATCTATCTATCTATCTGTCTATTTATCTATTTCTCTCGCTCACTTTCTGCTCGACGTCGAAACTGTCGTACTCGATTATTTGTCGCCTAATCCTTCAACCGTGACGTCTTACACACGTCGACGATTTTGAGGATTCCACACCAGCTTCGCTATTAATGCCGAATTAATCTTTTATACTATAGAGATGCAAGTCTTCTCTCTCATTGCATATAACGTTGTTAATACGCGCAAAGCTGATACATTGCACTCATCATTGCACATTTAGTATTAAGTGGTCAAGTCCGCTTGGATTTCATTTGTCTATCATAAAAAATACATTTGTAAAGTGGAAAAAATTAGCATTTAGTAAAATAAGAAAGATTATAAGAAGTAAATGCACACAGAAAAAAATTTAATAAATCTTAATATATTTTTTTGAATAGTATTAAATAACGATTTACTTACAGTAAAATACTTACTTGATTAAAAAATAATAGTTAAATCGAATTAATGGTTTTTTTATCAAATAAATATATATTTACATTTAGTAAATATTTACTTAGAATTTATTTATTCAAATAAATATTTATTAAAATTTAGTATTTTTTAAGTACACGTATATGATTTTCCTGATTTTTTCGATGCTTTAATTAATAAATTTTTTTGTTAAAATTTATTATAACATTTAATTAGAAAAGTACTTACGCAGAGAAAATATTAAGCCAAGATTAATACGTTCATAGTTTCACCGAGAATTTGCGAATTGTATCAGTAAAACATAAAAATCGAAGACGTACTGAATGTGAATAGTAACTACCACAGCAAAACCGGGTCAATTCTCTTACGCCCTCGAAAATTCTCTTTTTTTTTTAGTTTTGCCTTCTCGGTGTAACGGCCGAACTTCCGGTTTTGCGATACTCATTCCGGATACGTACTGAAAATGAGTGGCTCGTCAAACCGCCACTTGAAAGCTCTAAGTGAGAATATCAAAGTCTGTTTTTATCTACGTAAAGTTTATTTATTTTTCCGTTTTTGCTTAGCTACAGAATTTCATTCACATACTCTATCAAAAAAACTTTTTTTATTAGGCCAGACGAGATGGATACGTGCATAATTGCTACAAGGTACTTTTCATCAAGCCAATAACTACTTCGTTCCGGGAAAAGTCGTTTGATGGATACGGTAAGAAATTTTTTTTGCAAAATAATGTTCCTATATATTCAATTATGTAATGTAAGCGTTATTGGTCGAACGGAATCAATATATTGTTTCGATTCTCTGTTGCCATCCGATCTTGTAGTCATTTGTCAACGTATTTAAAATGATGGAGCATCTACGATTCTGCCAATGAGTGTGATTCATTACTTATTATATACTGAAGATAATCCGAACAGGAGTCGAATCATCTAAATAAACTCGGTCAGAAATCAAATATTGAGTTAATTACCACCACCATTAAGGGGATTCTAAAGTCATTTATATTATCGACTAATCATAATATAAAGATTATGCATTTCGCGGGTTTCTCCGTGTCCAGATCCATTCTTGAAATGCCATCAAACGTTGGCGAAGAAACCCGCGAAACGTATAATCTTTATATAGAAAACATCCGTGGAAGCCTCAAGAATATTGACTAATCATAATTTTTATTTAACAATTTTTTTTCTCTTACAGATTCGAAAATTCTTTTCTAAAATTAAGATATACGCATTAATACGTATCTGTGAGGTGGAATTTATGTCGAGAACGACAAAAAATTTTTTTTAAGATTTTTAATTTTGAAATTTTTTTTACAAAAAATACGACTTTAATTGTGAAAAATCTTTTTTGTTAGACCTTCGATCACAATTTCGCAAACTCAGGATTGTTTGTGCATGTCATACGCTTCCGGAGAAGGTATCATTTACAGGGTGGGCCATCTATTGGTACGTTTTTGAATTTCGTCGTATGGCAACACCGAACGAGCTACAGACCCGAAATTTTGACAGTTTATTAGTCATACCGTCCGCGGCACGAAACAACATGTTTTCTCTTGAAGAGCGTTTTGAAATTTTAAAAACTTATTTTCAAAGTCAGTGCTGTGTCGCCGAAACTGTACGAATTTTGAAAAGAAATATGGGTCGTGATAGAGCACCCACCGAAGGAGCTATACGCAAATTGGTGAGGAAAGTTCGTGAGAAAGGGATGTTAGTGGATGACAGAAGTGGTCCCAGAGCTCGGACAGTGCGCACACCCGAGAATATTGAGGCTGTGGCCCAAAGTGTGAGACAGAATCCGACGACTTCAACTCGACGCCGATCGCAGCAACTGAGCATTAGTCGCACCAGCCTGAGGAGAATACTGCACAAAGACCTCGGATTATTCGCCTACAAGATCCAGATGACTCAGGAGTTGAAAGCAAATGACCATCCGCTTCGATATCAGTTTGCTGTGTGGGCTATAGACCAGCTCAATAATGACGTCGATTTTGGTCGAAAAATCATCTTTTCGGACGAAGCTCATTTCCATCTCGGCGGATATGTGAACAAGCAAAATTGCCGGATTTGGGGCTCGGAACAGCCACACACAATCGTAGAGAGACCAATGCATCCTCCAAGAGTCACAGTTTGGTGTGGATTTTGGAGTGGTGGCATAATTGGCCCATTTTTCTTCGAAAATGATGCTGGAAACGCCGTTACCGTCAATGGCGAACGCTACAGAGCCATGTTGACCAACTTTTTATGGCCTCAAATCGACACTATGAATGTGGACGACCTTTGGTTTCAACAAGATGGCGCCACATGCCATACAAGCCGACTTACCATCGACCTTCTGCGCACCAAGTTCAATAACCGCATAATCAGCCGTTCAGGAGATGTCAATTGGCCTGCGCATAGCTGCGATTTGACACCGCTGGACTTTTTCCTGTGGGGTGCCGTTAAAGACCGATGTTATGCGGATAATCCAGAGACAATTCCAGCTTTGAAAAACAATATTACGACTATTTTGAGTGAAATTGGCGCCGAGGTAGTCCAAAATGTCATTAATAATTGGGGTGACCGAATGGCATACTGTAAGGCCAGTAGAGGGAGCCACATGAACGAAATCGTTTTTCATTCTTGACGCGGATACTTTTAGCTTCACAACAAAAAAAAAATTAATAAAAAATATCAATGTATGCTCATTTGATCGCATTTTTAAAAACGTACCAATAGATGGCCCACCCTGTAGTATGTATGATCTACAGAATTTCTGTACTAAGGCAATTACAACCTGAAGTGACAGCTGTGAAAGCTGAAATAAAATGAACTTTTAATTTTTTCCCCGATTTTCTTGTCAAATTTAGTATGGCCTGTGTTTTTTTGTGTATATTTTTATTAATATATAAAAGGATTTGGTGATTTATTAAGCCAATTCGGAGAAATTGGCGATCTGCAATTGTCGATAATTATCTGTTAGTTTAGGGTCCCTTTAACCGCGTTAAAATTTTTACTAGCCCTTACTTATATCAATATATTGACAATTTCGAGAGTTTTTACACTTAAGGGGAAAACTAAAGCGAAGCTCGAACTCCGACAAAGTCACCAGAGGTCGTGCCACGCGCCTCGCATCGACATGTTTTTATATACTATCACATCAATATCTCACGCAACCTATGATACATGCAGTCGCACATTCGTGTCAATTTTCATATATATAACAAATTTGTCGCGATAAAACGTCTAATTCTAATTCTAAGAACTCAACGTTATTTGTTCTTGTAAACGTGTGTTTGTGGATTACTATTTCGAAAATACAGGTTGCAAAACTTTCGTATCAAACAAATATTGTCACGATTTGATAACTTGAGATGCTTGATAGCTTGATGTTACACTAAGAAAATAGTAAAAAATATATCAATTTCGAAATTTTTGTCGTTCTCGGTATAAACTCCACCTCACAAATACATTCGTGTTTGTGAAATCGATTCGACATCGATTTCATTGTTATTTCTCACTGGGTAATGCGTATACTCCCTTAAGAGGATCTTAAAGCCTTCTGTATTATTAAAGCGTCTCAAGCTGTCAAGTTGTGACAACATTTGTTTGATACGAAAATTTTGCAATCTGTACTTACGAAATAGTAATCCACAAATACATTTACAACATAGAACAAATAACGTTGAGTTCTTAGAATTAGATTTAAGCCTGTGGCACGTGATGCTGTCAGTGCCAGCATTGCAATCAATACGGTGGCAAGATTCTAATCCAGCTAGCAATCCAGCAGGAAAACAAGCATCGTGTGCCGCAGGCTTTAGGCGCTTTATCGCGACAAATTTGTTATACAAAAATTGACACAAACGTGTGACTGCGTGTATCATAGATTGCATGAGATAACGCTGTGATAATATATAAAGATATATCGATACGCTGAAAAAACTCCTGATGACTTCGTCAAAATTCGTGCTTTGCTTTAGAATCTACGGTAATCTGTTTAGGACTCGGAGGGAATATATCATATACCTTAAAGGTCAGAAATGTTGATATATCCCCTCCGAGTCCTAAACAGATTACCGTAGAAGTTAAAGAAGACTGGGTCAGGACATTTGGGATTAGATCCTAATCCTGAACTTTTCGCAGCCTCAATCAAAATTTGTTCAACCGATAATATATAAAGATTTTCCTGCGTTGTTTACGTACTTGGAAATCCTTTGACCGATTAGAAATTAACTTATTCTAAATTGAATTTACTCGCTTTTATCTATTCTTTACTTATACTATTTATAGCATATCCCTCCTGACATCGATATTTCTTCTCACGTTGAGAGAAACGCTAAGAAAGTTTAGACGTACTTTCTTAGAGCGTTAGCATTCTCGTTTTTACGGGAACTTCTCTTGAAGATTTAATCGCGTGATTAGTTTCGCAAGACGGTTGCGATGCTTCAAAGTTTTCAGGTAAGTGCGAATTGTACAAAACGCACATACATATTGTTATGTTTTGTAGATATCGATTCGTAAGTTCGATGTGCGCCGTGATCCGAAGAAACTCTTTCAATCGAGATCACGGATTGCTTTCGAGAGGCGAAAATAAATATCCAGAGTTCTATATTTGTTAACCGGACGTTCTCTGGCAGTTGGGCATAAAGATTTCCTTCCGAATGAGATAAGAGGTTCTGAGAGCTAATTAAAGTTTTCGGGCGAATGTAGACCACCTAGTGAAGAAAGTTTCCGACGGAGTAAAAACTTGGATCACTATCGGGGCAGGCTTCAACTTTGAGGTATGACAGGCCAGATATCCATCATTGTAAGTCATAAACCCCAATCGACATTATCCCACCTATCGACAATGTTTTATTATATTAACGAAGATATAAAACATACATAAAATATTATAAAATTTTAGAAAATCAATGCCAATTAAATTGAATTATAGAGGAAAGCCCCCTATTATGAGATAGGCGCCTAATAGCGGCGTTGATAGCGGCGTTTCTGCTAAACTAATAGACGCTATCTATTGATTCCAACATGAATTTATTGCTCTTGGATTGAAAACTGTTTAATAGAAAATTCATTATTAGATCATGCTTGTAGTCATCGTAAAAAAAGATTTTAGAATTTGAATGTCTTCAAGTTTGATTGAGATGAGCCTTTAAATATTGTTTATTATTTAATAAATAAATATTTGGCAATAAATTCTTCATGTAGTAATAGAGTAAGATCGTACTAAGAAAAATATATATATAGGGATATATTAAATTGTTTAATTACAGAAATTAAATTTGATGATCGCAAAACCGTAAGGCGTGGAAATCGTAATATGAGATATCCAGAGTATATTTCTAATGGTATATTTCTAATGGGATATTTCTAATATGAAATAATGCTTCCATGTCATAGTGAAAATCGTTCATCGGTCTAAAGTATAAATATTATTGTACAATAATAAAAAGGACAACCAGAATGAACGTCGAATGCCTATTTCTGCGACGCTTGATTTCAACTACCTGGAGATGAGTTCTGGGTATAATGCATCGCATACTAATTTTTCGCGCATCCTGTGTTTATTTGTATTTAAGAAACGTTAAATAAAGTTTTTCAGTTGCAATACTGATATACTTTGCATTTTGCTATCGATTTCTCGGGACATCTCATATTAGAAGCACAATTTTTTGACTTTGCTCACTTTTTACAATTCTTTAAATTAAAAAAAAAATGAAATTTGAATTAAATTGTATATAACATTATCTTAAAGCTTATTAAATTCCCTTCAAAATGACCTATTATTTTTTTTAATTCTGCCCGTAAACTTTTAGCATTTACCCAAAATGGTAATGGAATTCGGTATCTCATAATAGAAGCCTTTTCTCTAAATCAATTAAATTATATTATTAGATGTAATTATACATATACTGGAGTGAAATAAAATTGATGAAAATTCTCAAAAATATCTATCGATGATTTCTTCGAACTGTCCGCCTATACAGCAAATTTTTAAGGTCTGCGTTTTAACGTTCCCAGTTTGTTCTTTGGATAAGAATCTGCTGCATGAGTAGTTATTAAAAATTATGGTTTTATGCATGCATTAATAGTTTATGTTTATATTTGGATAACAAATTGTAAAATTAAAGTTGTCAATTTGAAGAAATCATTGATATAATGGCACATGTAATGGCTATCACAATAATTTCATTTTGACTGTACATTATCGAGAAAACAGTATAGTACAAGATATGCTCTTTGATCATTTTCATCATACATATCGTACTTCTTTCCTGAGCGCGTGCATTAAATTTCGCATCCTCATCACGGAAGGAGGATAGGTTGTAATAACTATAAATATCAGTAGGTGTGCTAAATTTAATTTTGATTATACGGTACTACGGATAGTTTATGTAATGAATAGATGTTCAAGCTGATAACGTTAAATTCTACCTATCGGAAAGCCCCGCTAGCTTATTGTTCGGCTCGCACGGCTCGCATAAATCTTCGGCTCTCTGTGGACAACTAAAGGTACTCCATGCGAAGTGAGAACCAGGTAACTTTTGTCGAAAACTTTCAAACAAAATTGCAAGCATCGTTCCGTACAAGGAGATAACTCCTTCCCAATAACTAAGCTCAACTTGACATTTCGACAATAAAAGAGAGAAATAAATGCAAAGTTTCGCACATGCAAAAAGAAACGAACGGGAGTCTAATGTTCAATGATAACATAACACATTTGGAAAGCATCTCAATTGAGACATTATCACTTATTATCGAGGCTTATTTTCTAAATTGATTAAATAATAATATTCTATTTTTATTTATTTAAATATTCAATAATAACGTAACAAATTTGAAAAATTTCTCCGTTGAATATTCTTTAAATTATACATAGTTATATTGAAATAACAATCTATTAGTGTTGACAATATTTTATCTTTAATTATTTATCTATACTATATTATACGCATGATTAGTGATACTAATGAAAAATATTAGAATGTTTATAGTTATACAACTGTCGACTGAATCGCGAACATAGAATCGTCGTGGTATCCTATTGGATGCGCACCAACATGCAAATCTCTGCATCCTGTTTTTCATAATTAGACGCTGTTATAAAGCGACAAAATCGAGATATACATATTTATCTACTGAAGGTTAGAGACCTTTTTTGTGAGCTATGTGTTATTATCCTGATGTTAAGTATGGTAATGAGTTTCAACGCATCCGTTGGCCAATAGTCATCAATTATTCTGAATAATGGCATGCAAATAGGGCGCAGTGTAGGCAATTAATGTCACTATTTGCGGAGGTTTATCCCTGGTGCATAGAATGCAGCAAAGCCGCAGCGACAGTCCTATATTTGTCGATCATAAGTAGGTATAACGCGACGCTCATTGGGAACTCAACAAACACGCGGTACTGATCATTCCGTTATGCGCATCGTACCCAATGCTCATAGATCGGTATAATAACCTCGTCCTTCAAAACACTTGTACATGTACGCGGCTTAATTGAACAACGGCATCCAGCGCGACGCGAGTGTCGCGCGAAATGGCTTAATGATGTGCACATCCGTTGCACTTAAATCTTTGCTTATGTGGATTTCGTCTCCCACATAGACAAAAAGATATCTTTTATTCTAAAGATTTCCATATCTTTAGATATCTTTCATTTTTTACGAAAAGACATCTTTTAGGAATCTTTTAGGAATCTTTTAGGAATCGCAATACATACATTTGATTTCTTTTACTACGCAATATAATGAAAACATAATACAACGTAACAAATCAAGATGAATCAGGGATATTGACTAATGCGGACTTTGTTCTTGAAATAAAATAATCCCAGCACCCACTGGTCGAAGCTTGATTAAGAATAACAACCAGTGCGGATTATCTTTTTTCAAGAACAGTGCCAGCACTCACTGGTCAAAGCTTGATCAAGAATGACAACCAGTGCGGATTCTGCCTTCTTTCGAGGACAGCATCCATTGGTCAAAGTTAGATAAAGAACATTGCCGACTCTACTCTTAATAGAAAGTAGTCCCAGCGCCCACTGGTCGAAGCTAGAATGTCAACCAGTGCGGATTCTGTTTTTTTCATGGACAGTCCCTGCACTCATTGATCGAAGTTAGGTCAGGTCACTTATGTATTATACTGGATTAGTAATTACACATTAAAACCTGTTTTATGTAAAGTATCTAAATACAGTGGTACAATATATACAGTAGTACAATATATACAGTTTTGACATTGTAATAATACATAAATATTCTTTTAAATAACGTGACAATGTCATGGACTATTTAATCATTTAAAATTTGTTTTTATACTTAACTTCACTAATTTCATGTTCAGCAGCTTTTAATATGCATTAATCTAATGTAAGGTAATAACAGATAGCGCAAATTTAGACGTAATGCGAATCCTGCTTTAATCGAATTGTAATCGATATTCTTCGTAGCATATCGATTAAAGATAGTACAAAATTGTAAGAAATATTTGCTATTTTAAAAGAGAAATTTTTAAGAAACATAGTAGATATAGATTTAATGCCTGTGATTCTTCCTGATATCCTAATATCCGTCCAGAAATATATATAATACAATTTAATAAAATACTGAAACATGATGAGACAATTCGTAAATTCTTTGTAATATACAATTTAAGAATAGATTGATTTTCTTGGAAAATCTTCTTTCTATACAATTTTTCAGAATTTCTGTATAACTCTTGGACTTTTTTAAAACTTTCTGCATTTTTATAAAAATTTGAACTTCAAAAATACTGACAAAGCTCCACATTTTTTTTTAAATTTGTACCCGATACGCTACGAAAAATATCAATTGATCTTAAAAGCATATCTTTAACCAATATGCTACGATACTGAAATTTGAACCTTAAAAATAGTATATGTAATAGGACTGTAAAAGTTTCACTTAAATGAAGAATTTACGGGTTTCAAGAAAATCAGCGCGCGGTCCGCTCGAACTACAAACTTATATAAAATTTAAATGAATATTAAGCACCAACATTTTGACTGTAAATGGCTTCTTCATTTATTGATTTTTAAAGCTTAACTATATATGCAAAATGTTGCACATTAACAAATACAATTCAAATCGAATCGATGAGAATAAATCAATTAATGAAGAGGGATAGGCCAAAATATTGAATAATAATTCTTCTGCCAATGCAGGAATTTTCATTTCGAATTAAGAACAGTCAACATCTTTATAACCTTAATTATGTAAATCTCTTTTAATTATACATATAATATATTCTATAATAATTTTTAAACGATCAGTACGAAAGGAACGATCATTCCGACAACATCGTTGGTACGCACTTTCCAAGCTTTTTTTCCCGATCATGAGAATGCTCAACAACGCGGATATTATAAATTATCTTATGGAACAGGACGATCGCGATGAACAAAGCACGAAGAAGAAAAAAACAATCGACGAGTCAACTGATGCGAATCCAGATAAAGATAACATATCAAATAGGTAGATATTCTTTTCCCTTTGCGTCTCTTTTCCATCTGCCAATTTCTTTTTTCCTTAATTACAGACATCAAATCGCACACCGTCCTACCGTACGCATTCTCGAGAGAAGATATCCGTTAACTGCAACTGGCTACAAATACTTGAACATTGGTATCAATGTCACACTCCCTTCTTACGTAACTATCATTTTGGGAGATTGTCACGGTAAAGAGATTCCGCTTTCACCGGACATCTGGAGAGAGCTTCTCGAACAAAAACACACATCATTTTGTCCCTTTTGCAGTACGACGAAAATAATAAAGGAATACGTGCGCCGTCTCCAATGTACGTTGGAAATCTAACGTTGCGCTTCGGACGAATTAATAATCTACCAACTACTGCGTCTAGAAACAAGTACAGCTCGTCTATCCATGTCGAAAAGTACTGTACTTAATATATTTAATCTCGAACACTGTGTGAATCGTCTCATTTCCTCTCTAACCGCAATGACCGATAACGTCGATAAAAAATTTTCACGACTTCTTGC